ATCAATATATTTTTATTTTATTTTATGAAAAGTAAATGAAATTAAATGAAAAGTAATTGAATGATACAGATGAAGATTTTATTTAATAAAAAATTTGATAAATTTAAAATATTATTATTATTTATTATATTCGATATTATATATTATATTTGATGAATCTCTAAATTAACTTTTAAGAAAAAATAGATTAATGATAACATAAACATAATCATTACATAATTTTTATTCTTGTTATAGTATGGAGTTTAAAAACGAAAAAACTTTGTCAAGATTTACCTGGTCATGCAGACGAAATTTATGCAGTGGATTGGTCTCCAGATGGATGTCGTGTCGTATCCGGTGGAAAGGATAAGATTTTACGACTTTGGCAAAATTAAACAATGTGTATAAAAATTTTTTTTAATAATTCTGAAGTTTTATGCACTTAACAAATGAAATTTTCACAAACAAAATACTTATTCGAAGTAAGATCTTAGATTTAATTATTATGTAATTATTAAGAAATTGTTTGAAATATAAACATAAATAGATGGATAAATCTTAATCTAAAATAATCCAGAATAATTTTCTGAAATAGGCATTGATAATAAAGGCGATTGATTTATTATTGTTAAAATAATAGCGTGAATAATAATGAATTAAATTCTTTTAAAAAATCTACAATAGTTTTGTTCAGGAAAGTAGAATAACTGATCATGTACATGTAAATACAAAACAGCCATGTTCAGATAAATGAAATAAGCTGTACGATTTAGAAAAAAACCATTGAAAAGAAATGGAAGAATATAATATCTGTAATATTTTATAAAAATTCCATGATGTTTCACGATATATTAAAGATTCCTATCTTGCAACTTATATTTAAATATAACAATATAACATGTACATTCATATAACAAACTATAACAAACATGAAACTAAACTTCAATCCATATAATTTTTATACTTGTATTTTTGTTACAAGTGTATTATAAATATATATATTATGTCTTAATAGATAATATTTTTTATATATATTTTCGTATTTTTATTTCAAAAAAAAAATATAAAAAAAAAATTAAATAATAAGAAACGGAGAAGGATTAAAAAATATTAAAATCAGCATTATTTGTTAAGTTTCGCAAATGAAACAAAAAAGATAAGAAACAATAAAAGAAGAATAAAAGAAATTATTGTCAGCATTATTTCTTGAGTACTAAAAATATCTCTCAAAAATCAAAACATTAAAAAAATGATTAACAATCAATTCTTATTATATCTTTATCTTTTTTTACTTTATTCTTTCTCTTTATTCTCGTTATTCTTTCCTTGTGTCTGTTTCATTTGTAATATTCTGGAGATGACATTGATTTTCAAATTTTTATTATCTTTTTACACTATATTTTCTGTTACAGTACTTTTAATATGCAATCATAAAGGTACGAGATGTCAATTGAACATATTCATCGTTTTTTATGTCAAAAGTACAATATATTTTGATCTTTAATGTAAAAAAAATAGAGACATCATTTCTCGTATTAAGAATATTTATTTTTAGCTTAATTGTTTTTTAAAAATTTTTATAATATTTTTTTAATTTTTTTATTAAAAATTTCAATCAAGATTATGTTTTGGAAAGCAATACCAATTATTAAGTTTCACTATAAAAAGATGATCATGTCAATCAACGATCTCTTGACATCTCATGATAAATAAAATAATATTTGCAATCCAAAAATCTAAAAGATTACGTAATTCTTAGCTTGATATTTTTTCTAAAATTAATAAAATAATTTTTTTTAGCTTGATTATTGTTTTCTAAACAATAATCTTTGGAAAATTTTCAAACGATAAAAAAATAAATAAATGAATAAATAATAAAAGTGAATAATATTTATAATAAATATCTATAAGTAAATAAAAGAATAAATAAATGTAAAATTAAAAGTATAAATAAAAAGAAAAAGTGTAAATGAATAAAAAAATTAAAAAATAAAAGTATAAATATATGAATAAATAAGTGTATGAATAAATAAAAAAATAAATAAATAAATAAATGAATATATAAATGAAAAAGTAAGTGCAGAAGAAAATAAATACTAATTAAAAAATAAAATGAATAAACAATATATTATATGTATAATAATATTAAATATTAATTAATAGAATAAATGTTTTAAGAATGATAAAAAATTATTCTTTATAATCAAAATTTAATTAAAATATTATAATTTCGAACTATCTGTTATGTCAAGCTTAAATGAAAAACT